GATGGCCACCGTAGCCAAAGGTAATGTGATGACCACACAGTGCACAGCATCATGCTCAAGGCTTCTTCCCTCAAAGACCTGGGTTGCAATAGATGGTCCCCGAGGGGGTATGGTTGCTCAGACTCCTTGGCACAGCAAGCAGCTGTGGGCTAATGTTGCTGGTGTATGGCTGGATGCCAAACGTTAGATTGTGAATGCTTCCTTCTATGGCCCCGGGGGAGCAGGCCGCAGGGAGGACAGCAGGAATGGGAGAGAGAGCAGAATAAATTCTCATCAAGCTTCCTCAGTGAGAGTTGGCACTTCTAATGATTAAAAATCGATTTTAAGGATTTTTGAAGTGTGGGGTCTTCATAGGCCCCAAGCCTGGCCATTAGCTGCATTTTATCACCCAAGGAAGGCGCAGGTAATAGAATGACTAGATGAGCAATAAGAACTATGATCTCAGCACTCTGGGTCTGTCATCTTCCTGCTCACCCTCCAATGTGGTTCTGTTTACTTCTCTTCTTAAATATTTATGATATTGCTCCCCAAACACTTCAGCAGAATTGGTAATATTGCTAACAATGGTCTGAATATTGGCTTCTTAAGTGTCTGCCATACGCCACTTTGTGTGTGGTGCTTTATCCATTTTATTTTTGGACCCTCACAACAGCTCGGTGAGATTCATCCTCTTCCCATTTCATAGATGAAGAGACCAGAACACAGACCGTGTATTGAACTGGCTGGGCACCCTGACTGGTGAATAACCAAACCAGAGCAGGGGCTAGTGACTTTTGCCTCTGAGGAACCTCACAAGGCTTTCAAGGTCTCTGTGTCAACTCGATTTTCAGTCAGTCATGAAGAGGAGTGAACAGTATTTCTCCTCCTCATGGAGCCCATAGTGATTTTATCCTGTGTCTCTGCAGTCTGCTCTTAAGAAAGCCAGAGGAAAGCTCCTTCTGAGGACCCTGGAAAAGGCCTCCCTGTGCTCCATGAGGGACATTTAGGACTCGGTTGTTGTCATCAATTTCTCTTTCTACCTGAGTCTCGAGCTCCCCTATCCATTTCTGACCATGGTTTGCTTTCGCTTGACTTTGTGGTATTCACGGTTAGCCCTCTGTTCTTACCTTCATGCATATTCTTATCCTGTTGGCAATCAGGACTCTCTTGGTGCCAGAGGAAAGGACTTAGAGTTTGACCTGTTTTCCTCTCTCCTTATCTTATCCATCCTCCCATCTGCAAGTCTAATACAACCTTCTCGGAGAGTTCGCTGATAATCTGTCTTGTCATCTCAAGCTGGCTAGTCTAGCCCTTTCCACCAATGTATATAGAAGTTCCTTCTTTGTCTTAGAGATTCTCTCTCGCTCTCTGGTGTTTTCTTGTTTATTGCCCTGGAGGATTTGGACCCAAGGACTATGCCTACTGTCATTGTTCTGCCCTGTACACAATAGTGTCCCAGTGACTATTATATAGTGCTACCTGCCTTTAATTCCAGCACCTGGGAGGTAGAGATAGGTCCATCTCTGTGCATTTAAGGACAGCCTGTCCTATACAGCCTGTTCTAGGCCAACCAGAGCTGCATAGTAAAATGCTGGGAGACAAAAAGAGCTCTTGCTTTTCAAATTGTCTATATTTTGCCCAGTTGTGCATCTGACTGATAATGCCATATACCCAGCTCTCCTAGAATAGATACCAGGGACAGCAAAGTCATCTGACCAGATTCATACATGGCCTGCTCCTCTGCTCTGGGTCTCCTGGGGATGGCACCATCCCTGGTGAATGCTGAAGAACATTTAGGTCACTCAAGTCCCTGGTGATGGCTTTGTGATGTGCCTTTGAAGTGTGCTGCTGGCTGAGTAGCAAAGATGAAACATTTTTGCAGATAAAGTAAGGGGATTAGACGCCTCCATTCTACTATGCTTGTCTTTTACCCAGAATTCCCAGGGACCTTATGGCATTACACAGTGAGCAGTTTCCAGATGGCAGGTCCTCACATGCTCCTTCTCTGATTAGTGAGGGGTTGATGGTTCCATTGCTGTTCTGGCTGCTATAGGAGACATGGGCCTGTTAGCATGGTGGGCAAGGCTAAGAAGGGAAGTATGCTCCGCCATCCTCTCTCTTTCTACCTACCATGTCCTGAAGAACAGTGAAACTGAGGGCTTTTCCAATCAGCCGGAGGAGGGGAGCAGATGGCAGCTTTCTTCTTGAGAATTCCAGTCTTTGAGTCACAAACAGGATCTTCTCCTCGTCTAAACCGACCTGCACAGAAAGGATTCTCTGCACAAGCCAGACTGGCACTTGTCCACTAATTGCCTCCCACTAGCACGTAATGTATTTGGGCATTTCACTCATGTCCCAGACCCACAAGGGTCTTCATTGACGGTTCCATTGCACTAAGACTTTCTCAAATCAATATTCTTACATAAGAGGATGGGAAGAGCCATGGTATTTTTCTCTTCTTTTGAATATTTTTTTTTTGGTAGTATACACATTTTATATTCTGCCTTTAAAGCTATTTCTGCTGCACAGCTGCTTGAGTGAGGCAGACTCCCACGAGTTCTGCTCAGTCCAGCGAGTACCTGAATATCCCTTCATGGTGTTTGGTGCCTGCAGTCAGTCCTATGATGAGGGAGGAGTGTGCAGTGAGTTTGAAGGTTCTTATTAAGCAGGTCACCCATGAATCTATCTTCGTGCACTTCTTTATTAAAAATAGCAGAGAACATGATAATGCTTAAGCGCAACCACTTATAGGAACTTGGCTTAAAGATGTACGTTTTCACCTACCGTTTGGCATTTCTAATGTTCTGCTGCATTTTTTTCTCCATACTCAAAAGTTATCTCCTCCATTTTCATTCTGGGATGTGAATAGAGATTGCAGATGATGCTGTATTGTTGGTGGGGTCTGCCTTGGTCCCCATGGGACTGTGTCTGGTGACTCCTTGTGTCCCTGGCACTGGTCTTGAAGATGAACCACACTCAAACAGACACAGGTTATGGTGTAGGGCAGGACTCAGAAACAGACAAGATTTTTCTTCAGGATTTTAAGTGTGGGTGTCTTGTGAAAAAGGAGTAATCTGTGTTGGACCTACGGCAGAATTAATGAATGAACACTGCAACAGGATGGACTTTTGTTTATCCCAAGAGAAATAGAGAAAAGCTTTCACCCTCCCTGGGACAGATTGCATTGTGTATGGTGGGGAGTAAGCCTTATGGAAGTGATGGACTTCACACCACTTCACTAGGAATGACATTTCCAGAAAAAGCCAGGTCCACATCAGCTGTAAGACTCAGTGGTCTACAGTATCTGGAATAATTATTGGTTGTTCCGGGTGTTTGAAAATATGATGAGAGTTTTCTATTCAGTATTTTCAATATATTGCGTTCTTTGGTTCACTGCAGTTTTTAACAAGTAAAATTCAGTATAATCTTTTTAGCTATGAGATAAACCAAGACACAGAGAGTTGGGTGATTCATACAAACCACATGGCAGCATTAGCTCTGAGGTGGAGCTGGTGTGTTTGGAAAAAGGAATCATTTGGGCCATGCCCCTGAATAGTAATGTAGTTTTGGCCAGTCCAGTAGGTAAGATTAGGGTGTTAGAGTAGGTTGGACCCATGTGCAGTTGGATGGACCCATGGTGCAGTAGGGTGGCCCATGTGCAGTAGGGTGGACCCATGTGCAGTAGGATGGACCCATGTGCAGTAGGGTGGACCCATGGTGCAGTAGGATGGACCCATGGTGCAGTAGGATGGACCTATGGTGCAGTAGGATAGACCCATGGTGCAGTAGGGTGGACCCATGGTGCAGTAGGGTGGACCCATGGTGCAGTAGGGTGGACCCATGGTGCAGTAGGGTGGACCCATGGTGCTGCTGGTGGAGATTCTCTTGCCTCTCTGTCTGATGCAGTCTGGTTCAGGCTTTATCTGTTGCCTGTAGGTAGGAGGGACAATGAAGTGGAGTTTGTGTCTGTTTATAGGTGACAGGACCCCTATCAGCTAGAGTGTTCTCACGGGCGTGAGGACTTGGGCTGCATTCCGACAGCAGGTTGGATCTACAGGATGTATTTATGTATTTATTTACCGTTTATTCAGTTCTGCTGTGGGGTGGTAAGCATGATTTAATAGACTCTGAAATCCCTGAATATAGAAGGCAATCTACAGGGCAAGGTCTCCTTGTCTTCCAGGATGTGAGGTTAGAAGGGAGGTTGCATTCTGAATTTTCTCCAGAGTGTAGCCGTTGAACTCAGATTGCATTTTATGCTGCATGGAAGGCCCCTATGACAACTTGTTCCTTGGAAAACAAATAGGTTCATTGTAGAAACATTTCAAAACACAGTGACTATGAAACAGTGACCTATCATTTCTGAAAGTGCACTTTACATATTTAGAAACAAGTTCCACGCACTACTGTGCACACATGCTTGTAAGCTTCTGAATGTGTGAGGATGTATCAGAACGCTTTTGACCTATTTCCTGTTGTTGCATGAATTGGGTGCTTTGCAATTCTTTGTTAATATCTGTCACATGCATAATTATTTTGTCACATTAATCCCCAGAAAAAAACAATAACTACAAATCTGTTTTGTTTAAGCAGAAAAATAAAAGCTAAAGATGGATTATTATCTTTTTTTTTTTTTTTTTTGGTTTTTCGAGACAGGGTTTCTCTGTGTAGCTTTGCGCCTTTCCTGGAACTCGCTTTGGAAACCAGGCTGGCCTCGAACTCACAGAGATCCACCTGGCTCTGCCTCCCAAGTGCTGGGATTAAAGGCGTGCGCCACCACCGCCCGGCCGGATTATTATCTTTTAAGGCTCTAGCACCCCTGTTAGATTTTTATAGGCAAATGATCAACTACTCATTACTGTGGTTAGTTGGTATGGTAACACCGGGGTTTGGAGAGACCCACCCTGTTGTTACCATCAGCAGACCGGCTGCTTTTCACACACATATGCTCAGTTTTCTGCATATTCATCAGAGTAACAGACTCCCCCCTCCCCCTTTTTTCCCTGTTGATTTTTCTCTAGCCTGATGAAGTCCTCCGATATCGATCAGGAGTTGTTTACAGACAGTTACTGCAAGGTGTGCAGCGCACAGCTGATATCCGAATCCCAGCGGGTGGCCCATTATGAGGTAAGGATAGCCCGGCTCACTCAGCCACGCTGTGGCTCATGGGACTGGAGGATACTCACTCTTGGACTTGGGGAGTTTTCAGAACTGTAAGTTGTGAGCTTGTATCGTGTGAGTCAGGTCATGATGTGTTTGTTGGGAACACGGAGTAAAGGTTGGGGACATTATTCTGAGGCTCGGGCTACTTCCCAGATTATTTAATCTTGTTTACTAATATTTTAATGTATACCTTGGCCCCTAGAAATGTATATCTGGGCTCCCTTTCTGTGCTCTTTCTGTGAGAGATACATGTCAGTCTTTTGCTCTTTCTTCAAGGCATACATGTCACTCTTCACTCTCTCTGTGAGGAATACATGTCAAATACACTAGTTCCACGGCCTCCTTCCACCGAGGATGTGAAAATAGGCTCAAAGACCCTTGCTGGTCCTCCAGGGAAACATGGGTCTCAGAGGGAGAAAAGGCATCTCCTCCTCAGAGAACCTTCCCTGTTGGTCTGCACCCTAAATGTTCACCAGAATGTAGAAGTCCCTTGCCATCACAACCAAGGTTTAGAGCTCCCATACTCTGGAAGGGCATGGTGATCCTTTGCATGGGAGGGCTGGTGGATGCTCTTTGATCCTGCATTAGATGCAGAGGATGAGAAGAACAGGGATCGTCTTTTATCCCAGGGAGGAATGAGGTGCCAGGAGTGGGAGGCAGGGAGCTGGGGATCCCAAGATGGTGAGCCCTGCATCATGTACTCCAGTTTCCACAGAACAGGCAGCTGTGGGAATAGGGGCTTTCAGGTGTAATGACTTGTAAGGAAGCTTGGATTACAGGGCTTAGCCAGCAACTTTTGCTTTTCATCTGATGAGTCTAATAAATGCCAGTTGTCACTCTCGCTCATGGAGCTCCTCTGGGCCCCAGGAAATAATAATGTGCACCGTGGAAATAATAATGACAACACACTCATACACACCCAGAAACACAACACGCTAACCCCGCCTTTCCCACAGGGTTTCGTGTTGGTGGAAATGATTTGGAAGCTAAGTGTGTCAAGCATGCGAAATTCTTTTCTTGCTCTTATGTCCTTCGCGGTGATGCTTTGATGATGGCAAACAAACATGCTCTTTGAAGCATCTGTGAAATCAACATCTGTGGGAAGAAGGCAGTAGGGTTGCCCACCCCTGCCAGTCCAGAACCCCCTGTGGTGGCTACTCAAGTCTTCCGCGTGCAGTGGTGTGATATTTACAGAGAACCTATGCACGTCCTCTGGTGTCTTTTAAATGATCTCCAGATCACTTATGACACCTACCCAGTTCCCATACCCCACCTCATTTGCACAGATTCTGCACAGTATTTGCACAGGGCAAATTTAAACTTTGCTTTTTGTAACTTTCTGGTTTATGGGGAAATCATGGACCTGGAGGCTGGCACGTTATTCTTCTGTCAAGAAGGAAGTGAGTGCTGGAAGCAGCTGAAAGTGAACATGTTTACAAGGAATAAATCCATTGTTTGGGGATTGATAAACTCTGATTTCTATCTATATTGTTTATGAGCATATATGTAACTATAAAATACCATTAAAGAGCAGGGGAAATTTTCCTGCTCTGAAATTTTATGCTCTCCACAATAAGCCCATTTGCTTTAATTTTTAATCATTGTTCTTAATATTTGAGGATAGAAATGCTTTTGTTTATTTGACTCCCAATTCCCGAACAGTAGCTGCACATTATAGGTCTTTTTGGCATTTGTGAGGGGCATGGGTCTCTTACCTAAACATGCTGATGATACTGACCAGTACTGTCCTTTAGCTGAGTCGGAAAGCTAATGCCAGAATGTTTTAAACGAAACTTTTAAATAAGCAAATAACAACAAACCCCCACAATAGCTGCTCAACTGAAAGTGTGCTTATTTTGATCTCAGGTTCTCTTATTGATGTCCTGGACTCTTGCTGTGGTGTAATCTAATTGTTTACGGTACGTGTTAATTGAACGTAGCATTTGTGCGTTAGGAAAAATAAAGCAATCAATAGTTCCTCCATGAGCAGTGTCATACTTCATCTAGCGACATTAAGTGCATTCCTGCTGAATGTGGATGGATGCTGAGTGATGCCTTCTTCCTGTCTGTCCCTCACCCTTCTTCTAACAGAAATAGCCTGCGTATTCTCACCACAGAGATGTCAAGGCTGTGAAGTGACATAGGTAGGGTCTAGGATCCCTTATATGGGACTCTTGACCTCCATTTCTTGTCTTCCTGTCCCTTTGTTTGGGACATTATACTGGAGCGTGCCTCAGATCACCCGGGACTATTTGAGAATGGGTATTCTATTGGTCCGTCCTTGAACTCCACACACAATCTCTGCTGATATCACCTGTAGAGTGGGTTTCTCAGTGAGCTAGATATTTCATTCAACTCATTGAGAACTCTGCTCCTGTGATGTTTCAGTTGCTTTGATGTTTCAGTCTGATACTTTTTCAGTTCTGGCTGGTAAGAGCCTCTGCTTTCCCATGGGGGCACACCAATGAGCATCCCCTGTGTATTCCTATGTGACCAGCAACACCGGCATTAGGACATTGGAGGAGATTATGAACCAGTAAGAGAAATTTTTTTTGTGCCCAAAAAGCTCAGGAACTCCATGGAGAAGAAAGGCCACAGAGTCCCATGTGACTCTGGCACCCACATTATCCATCATGAAGACCAATTGTGGTCAAAAACTTGCTGGAGAATGTCATGATTTACCCAGGCTTCAAGCATAGGTCAATTTTAGGAAATAATAAATGATACTTGTCTCTAAAGAATGTTGAAGAGGTTGGTCTGGTTGGCTAGAGGATGCAGACTGGGTAGGGCACTGAGATCAGCACACAGAGGGAAGACTGGGTTGGTGGTGGAGGTGGTGTGTGTGTGTGTGTGTGTGTGTGTGTGTGTGTGTGTGTGTGTGTGTCTAAAGAGAACCTTGGATCCATCAGACTCTTAAGCATGTGGGACTGTAGACTATAACTGAGCATCTCTAGATGATGGTGAGTTGGTATTGGGAACAAGAAAAGCTTTTGTTATGATTTGTGCTCTGAGACTAGTATATTAGTCTCCTGAAGTAGAAAAGCAAACACACAAATGGGTTAATTGTTAATATCTTCATGCTCCCTTAGCAGATGAGCCTCTCAGGAAGGGGAAGAAGAGCTTGGTATGTTTTTAATTGACCAGACTGTACAGGGATATACTTTAACATTTTCCTCTTTGCGTATGAAGTCCTGATGTAAAAGGAAATGAAAGGGCACACAGACATTATTTTTTTTTACTTGCTAAGCAGTGGAGAATATAATTAGTTGTTGTCTCTGCCCATGGGTGAATAGTCAGAACCAACACACCAAGTGCACTTGGAAGGGAATGCTTCATAATGAGGTGCCTAATGTGACAAAGATCAGAAATCATTTCTTGCAAGGGGTGGGGCACTGGAATGACCTGCTGTGGTTTAAAGAGGATAAAGGATAATTTCTTGCAAAGGGAAGAGTTGCATGCCTGAGTGATGGGTGGCTCTCTGGTGTACAGGAGGAAGGAAAGTTGTCCCCAGTACATGATGAGAAATGAAACCCAAAGCACAGAAAATCTTGCTTTCTCTTTCTCCATACATACACCATATATAGGATATATAATGTTCAGTATTGCTATACACAATAATTATTTTATAAATATACAATATGTTTATTTATATTTTAGTAAATCCAAGGGAAGAAATAGTTCAGATCTAGAAAGAAAGTAAGAAGAATCATTGGGCAGGCTTCATATAATCAGTAATAAACATCAACCCAACTTCTTGGCTCTTTTTATAAACCTTTGGGTGCTGCTGTGGGATGGGTCTCAGTAAACACTCTTTGCAAAATCAGTGACTGTGTGTGATGGCTAATCTTGACTGCCAACTTGACTTCCATGATTGAACATGGAAGCACACTCCTTGCTGTGTCTATGAGGGTATATTCAGAAAGGTTAACTAAGGAAGATCCACCTAAATGTGGGTATAGCCTGTGGGTCTGGACTGAATAAAAAGGAAAAGGCAATCAAGCTGGGACATCAGTGGCTCTTTGCTTTCTGACTGGGGATGCAGTGTGACCACACGTGTCTCCCACCACCATGCCATCCTGTCGTCTCTGATGGGCTGTATCCCCTCACCCTGGGAGCTAACATAAACACACTCATCTCTTCTCTGCAGGATCAGCCTTGAATTCTTTCTGATTGGTAGCCAGGGCTCTAAGAGTGGATAAAATCATCAGAGGCATCTGCAATTCTTATCTTCTGGCCTGTGAATAAAACAGGTGTTAACACTACCCACTTCCCTCTAGGGTAGTGTAACAGTAATATTTCCCATCCAGAAAAAGAAGGACAGGAGACAAAGGACAGTCAGTAGCTTAGGGCCACCAGAAGGCCAAGGACAGTTTTCTCCCTCTTAGGGGAGCAAGGAAAACTCCTGGAACAGCATTTGACCTCTTCAGGAGGAACTTCATTCTTTTCAGTGGTACTCACCTCCTGAACTGTTCCCTGTTGAACATCCTCCTGGACTTGTCTCAGGTCCTGACCTCTCTTCGCTTCCTTCCCAAGGGTGATTTCAGGCGTGCACAGTATTCTACAATTTTTTAAAAGTCAGAATAATAATTTCCTTAGTAATGTGATTCTCACAGCAACACAGAAGGCTTCCATTATACCTGCTTTCAGAGAGCTCTCTGTGTTAGTAACTATGCAATCTCTTGTAGACAAAAATCTCCAGGCTGTTCCTTTTATTTTTCTTCACACACTTGCCTATTTTCCCTTTGAGTTCAGTTGTGGAAATCTTGAGTTTATTTAAAAGTTAGTAGGTAGAAATGCCTCGTCCTTAATCTAATTTTTGCCAAAAAGCCTGGATCACAAGGCTGAGAAATCTTACTGGATCTGCAACAATCAAAGCTTTCTTCCTCCCCTTCCCCTTCTCTCTCTTCTCCCTTAGCCCTCTCCTCCTCTTCCTCCTCCCACCCACGCTCACCTTACTCTCTGCC